TGGGAGAGAATGAGATGGGATATAGTTCTTTTAGTTCTTTTATGAATACCAAAGCAAAAAAAAAGACCAGTACAAGAAGTCTTGTACTGGAACAAATTAGATTAAACTGGTTCAAAATATATTGAACCTGAACTACAACATATCCATCGATATTCATGAGGCCCAGTGAGGGACTGAGAGACTGTCTTGTCAGAGGACACATCATTGTGATAAGTTGTTCAGTTTCCACTTTTGTTTTTCAGTGTCATTCTATGGTAGAAGAAAATGAAGAAACTATAGAAAATTGGTGGTTTAAACAGTAAGTTCTCAATCTCGCTTATTCTGATGGTACACTAAATTCTTGACGCCCACTCCTGGAGGTCACTACATAACATTTATATTAATTATTAATTATTATTATTAATTATTATTAATTATTTATTATTATTATTATTGTTTTATTATCTCTAGTGCTACTACGAAACTATGGTAACATTATTTATATTAATATTTTATTTTTTTTAGTCAAAGTGAAGAGAAAGACCTAAAAACATGGTTTTGTATAAATAGTATAAAAGGTATGTGTGTGATTTATTCATTTATTTAATACCATTTTTTCATCATTCATTTGTTTTTCTATTTTTCATTTAGTCATCCAATAATATATTGTATTCATTGATCAATTACTCTTTCATTCAAACTTTCATTTATCACTTCACATAGTAGTGATCCTTATTCATCTAAACATCCCTCCCTTTATTCAYTYATCCATTTGTTTGTTMATTCATTCATTCATTTAGACATTCATTCAGTTGTCCTTTTATCCTTTTATTTATTCACTTACTTTTTTATTTGAATATTCATTTCTTTGTTTATCCATTCATTTATTTATTTGTACATTGTTCGTCTATCCTTTTGTCCATTTAGTAATTTTTTATCCTACTCATTTTTTATTTGACAGTATGCTGCAATAATGGTACTTATGGACCAGAATGTAAAGGTATGTAAAAAGTTAAAAACGGAACCTATAAAATTGCACTAATGGTGCTCATAGATGCAAAAAGACCWCAAATARGCAKGGTAGAAWGAAGGAGCTTCAAGTCTGTTAACTTATACAAYAACATTGTCCTTTCTTTTTCRTGTTGTAAACAGAGTGCCCAAGTGGAAAAGATAAACCCTGTAATGGAAAAGGAGATTGTGATGTAAGTGTGAGTCATACAAAATATCATTCATAAAAGGTTATTTTACCCTCAAATGAACTAGCAAAATATGCAAACTGTCCTCTCAAAAGGTGTTATTGTAGATACTGCTCATCATTATTAGAATGGCAAAGGAAAGTAGACATTATTTGTGTTTGAATATGAAAGAAATCTTGCAAAGTAATCATGCAACTCCAGATAGATTGTCACAGTACATCTTGAGCTTTAGAGCTTGCTGGAATTAAGTTGTTGTTAGCAAAGCATATCTCAACTCCTTAATATACACACAAGAAACTACAATTGCTTTACTATTAATCTCTTTGAATGCAGGGCTCTGGTACTAGAGGTGGTACAGGCAAGTGTGACTGCAACTCTGGCTATGATGGCGATGAGTGTGATGAATGTGACGATGACTACTTTGAGGAAAAAGACGAAGAAAATAAATTAAAATGTACAGCATGCCACGAGTCYTGCTCCAAAGGCTGCAATGGGTCTACTCCAAAGGACTGCACTGAATGTAAAACAGGTTGGGAAAAATCTGAAGAAGATGGATGCAAAGGTATTGTAATTCCCAACAAAACAAAGGATTAAAAAATGGAATTTTATGCTAACGTTGACTATTATTTTTTTATACTAGATGTTGATGAATGTAAGGATGCTGACAAGTGTGGTGAAGGAGAATACTGTGTAAATACCCCAGGGTCTTTCGACTGCGAAGGTACATATGCATTAATATATATTATGCATTTATGATAAATATATTATTCTTGTTAAAGAATAACTGAGAAAAACGATGAAGATGGGGTAATGGGAGAATTTGTTGCTGCTATTGCTGCTGTTGGTGGTGGTGGTGGCGATGTTGTTGCTGTTGGTTTTGTTTTTGTTTGTTTTTGTTTGTTTTTTGCCGCCAGGTCAAAGACAAAATGCTCTCTGTATAAGACTACCATATAATACTTCTATTGTTGATTATTTTAGCTTGTCATGAGTCCTGTGAAGGAAACTGTACAAGTTCAGGTGCTAAAGGTTGTATAGCCTGCAAGACTGGTTACAACATGACCGAAGATGAGGGCTGCAAAGGTCAGAGGCAGTTATTACCACAGCTATAATTATAAATCCTTTCAAAACACTTCAAAGTGTCTAGTGACTTTGTATTAACACAGTTAAAAGTAGGCTGAATTTGTAAGTCGGTTCGTTTTATGGGAAAACTGAGGAGTAAAAGGTGTGAATTATGGAGTCGGTCTGATCGAAAAGACGAAAATTCAAGTAATCTTTAATGATAATGTTTTTGATCTCATCAAAACAGACTATGATGAGTGTGCTGCCGATACATCAAATTCTCTATGTGACAGTGGCACGTACTGCAGGAATACTCCTGGATCTCATCAATGTGCTGGTAAATACAAATCCTTTATCATATACAGTGAACCCCCGCCCAACGGGCAAAATAATAATACAGTCACTACTTTAATACGGACACTTTTCGATGRCCCTTTTCGATGSCCGGATTAACGAGGTTCAACTGCACCCTAGGAGAATCCAGCCAAAAGTACCAACAAGTMCGCTATTTCTCTTTCCATTCTTAGTTGAYTGTTTGTTGTATWTTTTAGCTTGCCATCATACTTGTGAGTCTTGTATTGGCGAAGGAGATTCATCGTGTACAAAATGCAGYGACGGATACAAAATGGAGGACAATAAATGCAAAGGTAATGGAAAATGTTTCACATGGCAATGTTCAGGGAAAAAGTTGTATGGTGCATGCTGTCGTTKACTAGTTGTGGGTGTTTTTTTTTTTTGTTTGTTTGTTTTATTTCGTAATTTGTTTTGTTTCGTTGTGTTTCGTTTTAAAATTATTATTCCGTTTCGTTTGTTTTGTTTTGTGTCGTTTTGTCGGTTTTTCGTTTTATTTCGTTTCACTTTGTTTTCGTTTTGAGGTTTTTCTTGTATATTTGTTCCTTCGTGATATTTGAAGGTCTAACCTCAGGTTCGTCAACATCACGCGTAATCTATTTCACCGATTAAACCACAATACATCCTTTGTTCTTTAATAAATATGATTTTTTGTTTTTAGATATTGATGAATGTGCAGCAGAAAATAGCCCATGTACCAAAGAAAACGAAGTTTGCGAAAATAGCGACGGATCCTTCACATGCGAGTGTCAAGACGGCTACAGACGGAAAGGCGACAAATGCGTGAAAGGTAAAAAGAAAAAGAAAAAGAAACCTCGAAAATCCGAAGAAGAAGCACTCGAAGAACAACTCAAAAARGGCAACTTCTTATCTGAAAATCAGTTAAAGATAGGGAGCGTTCTGTATGCTGTATTCTTTGGTTTAGTGTTTCTCGCACTTCGACAAAAAAGCAAACTTGCTTTAGGGTGTTTAGCGTTAACTTATGCTACGGTATTGTATTATATGAGGACCTACTCCGCAAGGAATTCAACTGAAGAACTTTGAAATGATCCCTGAATGTTGCGCGAAAACTTACCCTGGGGAATGGTGCAATAATCAAATCAGATCCTACTAGTTTGGTTTCATATAATACACGAGCTGGCACGAGCCATCGGTGATACAGGACTGCGGCCTATCCATCTAGAGGGCGCAGGCGGTTCGCAAACCTCCTTGGGGCAGGCTTTCACCTCCCGGAAGATGTAATCCAATAGGCTTGTTCAATTTCAAAAAAGAAAACACAAATAGTGTCATTGTCGGCTCTTTTTTAAGAACGACAAAGCCAATCAGAAAATTCGTTCCGATTGAGGTGAAGACCTACCGTCTCCTTGAACCTTTAATATAACCCTGCATAAAAACCCTGGATCCGTCCCGACAGGCAGTTGATGTTTATAAGACTTCGTATATACACTAACAATACTATAATCTTTGTTTCTACTTTTGTTTATTGTAACGAGAATCTTCATTCCTCTCTGGCTTCCTCTTCGTCTTCGTTSTTGTCTCATTCACTCTCTTCGTACTGAGAAATGCTTCACTTCGCTTCGGCGCATTTAGTGATATAGCTCACGTGACTCAATCAGGCAGCATCAACAATTGAAACTGAGCTTTGACAGTGCTCCTTCACTCTCGTATTCAGTTTGTGCTCGATTGTTCCTCTACGTCTACGGGAGAGATAAGCAATCTTTTCGCTTTCTTCCTTCCCTTGATGCACTGCGAGTGCTGAAAGACAATGMGACGAAATGGTACTGCTTGAGCTAAGAATTTTTTCCCTTCAGATGCTGATAGCAATGAGAACGAAGAGGAAGAGGACGAGGAAGAAGGGGACGAAGAAAGCGGCAGCAGCGCGAGCGGCGAAGAAGAATCAGAAAAGGATGAAGCAAGCCCGCCTGAGGACGCGGCGCCAAAAAACAGTGAACAAGAATCGCATGAACACGAAGAATTATAATATAAATTCATCTTAGAAGAAACATTTGTAAAAAGGGAACTTATTTCCATACAGTAAACTGATTTATACAATAAAAACGTTTTATTTCGTTTCTCAATTCTTCGCATTTACATCGATGCTAAAAAAAGGTAATTACTAAAGAATCCTTAGTAATCTTCAGCTATSCATTCCTCGCCTGGCTTTCGTCTTGTCACTTGCATTAGTATAGGGTTTTTTTTCACCAGCTCATAGCCAATGAATGCGTTGAAGAAGACTCTCTCTATATAAAAACKATAGAACGTGAAACTGCTGTTGTTGATAATATATGTCACCCGTGCGTATATGTCGTCTAGTTAATAGAGAGTTTAAGCATCACGTTTACGGCWAACGGCTAACGGCAGAGCTGAACCAATGACCTAAGAATTTCGTGCCYGACCTTGTGATTTAGGTAGTCATTGGAAAGAGCGACTTTTCACGATTGTGGCAAACTCAAAATAACCCCCAAAAGCAGGTCACGTGATCTTTTCTGCCGTTCGCAGCTAGTTTGCCGTAGACGTCATACTTAAGCTCTCTAAATTTAGTGTAGACTTCTTTAAAATTTGAAATGCCTCTAAGAATACCCCGAAACCTAAAAAAATAAATTGAGATACAACCGCGGTGAGTTGTGGTTAAACAATATCGGACTTGCGCTTGTCGTCAKAGAGTATCTTCTTGTCGTCACCATACTCCTCAGTGAATGAGCCGTTCTCCCCGAACCCTGCGCCTTCTTCGTCGTCATCGTCCAGGCTCTCACGGTCATCATCTTCCACTTTGGAGCTTTCTGAAGGCTCCGTTGAGTCCTGTCGTGTWGGGTGGAGTGGGGCATTTTCGTCTAACCTAKTGTGGAATAATTGAAACTTGTATTTTATTTGTGATAGTTTGAATCTTTTATTTTAATATGGCGGCCGTTTGCATCTTGCTGAATTTATAGTTAAATGGCTCCGATTCCTCCCTCGACACAAGTTTACAGTTCCCAGCTCCATCTACAGTGGTTAAAGTAGCAATGATAGTAGATATTTGGGAATGATTGCCCTTGGCGGGGAAAAAGGTATCCATGTCACTGCCTGGAACTCAACACCACCGTCTTGCGCTGATGCAACGCGTTCGGCAACCTTTCTAGACTATGCCTACAACCGTTTTAATATCCGTGAACTTGCTGTTGTTTACTACGGGTAAGCGTCGGGTGTAAACGCAGGCTACAATTTTTCAAGGTGGCACTGGGAATTKTTAAAGTATARATAGTCAACAAATAACATTATAGGACGGCAAACTTCATAATATCCTACTTAAGTGCGCTTGATATGCAATTACAAATCATGAATTTCCATTCACTTCATACCTTCCTAGATCAATCGGCTCATCTTCTTTCACAGCAAAATTAATACCTCTCTCTTCTTCTCTTTTACGAACTGCAAATAATGGGTATGTCTTATAATTTCATAATGGATTGGCTAGCTCAGAAATGGCGCGCAGTCAGTTTCATGTGGCCATTCCGAAATTCAAAAGGAGACTGGGAACCAGTGTGAAAATATTACATTCATCGAAAACTGAACCTCACCACATGTCAAGTTTGAGCATATTTGGTTGAAAATTCACCGAGTAGAATTTTTTTCAAATTTGTAAAAATAAGGAGAATGTATGGTTTTTGGGGACGCTGATCAAAACCTCCATACATTCTTTGTAATTTTTTCGAGTTTTAAACGCTTGAAACTCTGTAATTATTAAACTGAACACTCTCAAACTCGGCGGCTTTACTAATTTTTGTATGCTCTTTCTTGTCCTGGTGTCTGTTTTTTTGATTGCTTCAAACGGTATCGAGTTTGTGACTAGTCACCAGTCCCTTTTTGAATTTCGGAACGTGTAATTGGATGACTGTTTTCACGCTACCTAAGAACTTACCAGGATACTTTGAGCCACTCTTTCTAGATCTAACGCACAAGCAAAGGATCAACAGAAGAATCAGAAGTAATGCTAAAAGCCCCATTAAGACTAGGAACCACGTAGACAAGTAATACGGCTGTGGACCTTTTTCGTATCCTAAACAGAAAGACGTACATCATATTTCAGGTGGGATCCAGCATTGTATAAGGGGAGGTACTTTTGTCAGTAATATATAGCTAATTAAACTAAGTATAGCAGATGGGACTGATCATTTTTGTTAGCTGCGTATTGTCCAGAGCAAGAAAAATATGCACAAGTTGACCAGAAGCAAATTGACTTTAATTGAAACGTATCTTTGACTACTGACTTCTCATAGTGGCAGACACATGTTATGTATATATATGCTACCCATTTTGTCGATAAAAAAGTACAACAGGAGTACAAACAAACGTTTATACTACTATAAAACAATGCAAAAAGGGGGTGCTTCCGCATCCAAAGCACCTCCCCTGGATCCGCCCCTGTATTTTGCAAACCTCAACATTTAGATTTTTTCTTGAGTGCAGGGGCGAACGGCCATACGGAGATTGCACGACCGAAAGGGAATATGGTTACGCTTTTTACAAAATTTCTTCACTTCAAGTTTTGGTTCACCTTACGTGAAAATTGAGACTAAATGGAGTCAATATTTACCAATCAGTTGGGCTTTCCCATCAAGAAAAACCCATAGATCATTTCGATCATGCATGCATTCTCCCTTCGATAATTGCCATGTCGCCATTTTATTTGTCAATTTATCCGATAACTGATTTTGAAATATATGTTATTCTCAATTACTGCTCATATTCTGAAACGAGACACTTCAATTAAGACGTGACATTGAAGCAAATCTTTTTAGTACAGGTTTTGCTCATCCTTTGAGATCTGGAATCAATCGTACAGTACGTACGTTTTCGGCATGCGCGTATGGGGACGCCGTTTCCATCACAGGTAACCCAGGCTCAATAGCTCCGATAAAGTATGTCGTACTCGAAATAGTTTTTGTTGTTCGTTCTTAATTCATATTTATAACATAAATAAAACCTAAAAATCGAAATATTTCAAACCAGGAAGGTAAGAGACGTTTTATTTATGTTATAAATATTAATCATACTTAGTTATTTAGCCTGGGTTACCTGTGTTCCATCAGTAATTCATTCTCGATCTTTTCTTTTGGAGAGTTTCAAAACGTTTACATACGCTTGGTATTTAATTTGACAAAACAATCTCAAACCAGAAATAACTCTAAATAATGCCATCATATTTGTTACAATTTTTTCTTGTGCTCGTTACTTTAGCACAGTGTTACGCCCTGTTTCTCTATGACGTCACATCAAAACCTACATAGATAGTCGCCAGAATTAGAAGGAGGCATATCGCCGGACAAAAATTATAGGGAAAATATAGTGGAGAGAAAAAGAATACTAACGAGCATTCCCTGAAACATATGGATAATTTTTAAAAAGAGGTCAACTGATGAGAAAAAAGATTTAGTCCAAATTTCCATTGTTTTGAGTCAGTGAATGTGTCTTGTACGTCATAGCGAAATAAGTCTATTCGTGATGTTCTCCTTTCAAGACAATCATTTTCGAAGCAAAATAGTTAACTTAAATATGAATTTTTAATACAAATATCACAAAAACACAACCATTACATTAAAATAAGACATTTGTTCTCGTTTTAAGAGGTTTTCATATATGCTACGACATGTYTAAGGTTCGCATCTTCTGTGTATRTTAGTACTCAAACTTTATAGTTCCCAGCGCCATCTTRAAAACAACCTAGYGGAAAAAGAAAACTATCTATCCCTGYAAGCACAGCAGTCTTGCTTCGATGSAAATGCACRGCTGCCTTTCAAAATASCTCTGGAACTGTAAAATGGAGTATAAATACTWGCAAATCTAAAGCGATTATGATGAGCAACAAGTCACACGCAAAATATAATTTCGCTCTTTGCTCATGCTCAYAAGTTTAGCGGGTAATGTTAATGGCAATGACAYGAACCTGTAT